CATGACAAACGGACTTCATTCGCAAATGGGCACGACGAGAATTTTCAAGCCCTGGCCATGCAAGCAAGGAAGAAAGAAAGAAAGAAAGAAGAACGACGAAGAGCATGGGTTGGGCGCTCCACAACTTGATAGACACGTCAGAATGGGAGCTACTAGGGGCAAGCTGTTTAGGGGCGATGATTCGATGGTCTTTTCTCTCGTAGGCACTTTGATACGTGCGCCTTGGGGGGTGGGGAGGTGGGACTTTGGGAGTATTTTGCTTGATGCGTCTCTCCTGAGATACCCGTCCTGCGATTTTATGGCATGTATTCTTTACTTGGCTAAAAAGTGTGTTTATTATCATATGATCATTTCTTTGGCGCGCGAACGGTAGATGGGGAACAGTAGGACACTTTTTTTTTCATTTCGCCTACGCAAATATGAAGGATTTGATGGAGGATGGGCCACATGAAGGCGGCAAACAAATAGAAGGCTCTACATGAGAAGTTTCTAGATTATCGTTCTTGGCTCAAATTTCCTGTACTGAGCGCCTCGCGGTGCAACAAAAGCCCTGGAAGGCGGCATCCATTCATCACCGAAAACCATGCAGAATTCGTGAGTTTCTCCACTTCAAACAAACAGACACACGCACACACACACACAATGTATCCCCAGTGACCGCCGACCGAGGACCTTAGCTGACAAGCTGCCAAGTCAGAACAAGCAGGGTCGAGTAGGCGGCGAGGCTCAGGCCGGCGAGCAAGGCGACGCTGTTGCCCGAGGGTGCGGAATCTTTTGGGCGGGCGCCTCGTTCAGCGTCGGCCGGGTTCGCGGTCGCCAAGCGGGCGTCGACCTCCGGAGCGGCAAGGAAGAAACTGGCGGTTGCCCTCATAGCGGCGGTAGATGGCGACGAGCATGACGGCGGCGCCGTAGACGGCGAAGAGGGCGCCGATGGCGTAGAACTCAGACGTAAAGATCTTGAGGATGATGAGGGCGAAGGAGAACTGGCCCAGGGCCGTGCGCATGTAGGCCCCCTCGAAGGTGCGCTGAGCTGCGCGGATCTCGACGAGTCTGCGGGCGCGGGGCGAGGTGGTTAGTTGGCATGGTCTGGGAACGCCGAGGCCGACAGCGGCCGAGAGGGGACGCACTCATCGGAGGTGAGGACCACGGAGCGGGCGCGGTGGAGCCGGAGATGGAGGTGGTCTTCGGGGTTGGGCTAAGAGGCGTC